TCATTCTTAGTAGCTCATACTCCCTGAGTACTCTTGTATAGTCTAGTATATATAAGTGTACAAGATTAGACTGGTCCTGTAGTCTTGATCTTGTCTACTCTAGGTAGTCCTGTACTCTTAGGCTCACTCTATATACTCTACTCTTGTCTCACTCTCTCTCTCTCCACCTGTTCTACAAGTTCTGACTATGTTCTAGTACTTGTGTTCTGTATTTCTGTTGTGTAGGATAGTTGTAGCCTAGGTCCTCTTACTAAGCCTTCAGGTCCCCTCTACACTGTTGCTAACATCAGATTAAGACTACCTATTACCACCCTACAACTCTCCTACATTTTAAGCATTAGTACTTACTATTGTGTCAATCTCTTTTCTTTGTCTCAACCCTTTTACATTTTTAAATTTTAAACTTTTTAAACCCTTTTAAACTTTTGCCACCCTTCTTCTATTCATTACCCCTTTTAGTTTAGTGCTGATTCCTTTGTAGTGTAAACATGGACTCTCCTATACTAACTGTCACCCCTACTGTCCTACCAGATCAGTAGTTACAAGCAGAACTAGCTTAATATGTACAGACCTCTATCTAAGAGGCCTTTGCTAACCACATGCCTCTAGCCCCTTCAGAACCTGTTCTGATTGTTCCAGAAGTTACAACCTGTTCTAGAAAGAAAGTGTATGTAGCCTACCCTTTAGACTTTAATAGACAGTACTTTAAGGACTTCTAGCACCAAGTCAAACTATATATGACTACTACTTTAACCAATCTATCCTTAGATCTTAATCACATCTTATTTGTCCTCTCCTTCATGGCAACACAGCCACCTGAGCCCAGAACTGGATTGAAGGACATTGGATTGGAAGCCTGATCTGACTTCAGAATAATGAGTTGTATTTGGAATTCATAAGGTAGCTCTGTACTTCCTTTATTGATCTGAATAAGAAGTACAATGTGTAGAACAAGCTTGTGTCTCTACAACAGGGCAAACATTCTGCTAATGCCTTTTTTCAGGAGTTCAATATCCTGGCCTAGAAGGTAGGATTTATACTCAGGTTTAATAATGTCCTTATTAGAATGCTTGAAAAAGCTCTTTACTCAGAACTAGTCAATAAGATTCTCAGGATAATGTTAGAACTAGTCACTTACACTAAGTAGAAGACACACACTATCTCCTTCAACCAAGCTACAGCTTAGATACATTAAGTCTGTATAGAATGCCTACACATGTGTCTGGCTCTAACAGTTCTGAGTCCTTAGATCAATCCACCTGTAATTTGTAATCAATCTGTTCTGATAGACATTAGAGAAGCCTGAAAGTGAGGAGTATACTTTGTCTACAGAAAGTCAGAGCACTAGATTAAGGACTGTCTACAGAAGTGACAGTATATTTGTCAGGTCATTAGAGTAATGACAAATAACAAGCAGGATTTGTAGTAAGAAGCCTTTTCTACAAATCTGGAAGTCACCTCAGAACTCCCAGACCCTGACTACATACTCTAGGATTTTGTAGAGGCTTAACAGTGAATGTAGTACTGAAGGGCTATAACTCAGATTTTTTAATAGCCACTTTTGATTCAATGGACACTATAGGATTAGAAGTAAATAAAGTAAGAAAAGCAGAAAAAGTAGAAAAAGTAGAAAAAATAAATCAACAAAATTATTTATTAGAAAGAAAAAAGTTGAAAACAAAAGTAGATAGTTCTCCTATTTCTTCTGATTCTTTTGATTCTTCTCTTTACACTTCATCCAAGTCTAAATCTGTACAATCTAACCTACTACTTCTGTGTTCCAAAATCTTAGAACATTCAGAACACTACCCAGTCCTGTTTACTACTCAGTAGTTTGTCTATAGTATCAAGTAGGGATAGTCTCAGCTGAGTTCACAGCTGAGAACATGAGTCCATCCTTGTTGAAAGAGAGAGGTTAATAAGGAAATGTTAGTGTATATACTTACTCTCTTAGATGACAAGACTGTATAAGCTGTACATTCTCTTCAGAACAAGTAGCAGTTCATCTGAGAATGTTTCAGGCACTAGCTCCAGGTCCCTGTCCTCTTGGCTCCCTTCTTAGGATCCCCCCAGATCTAAACAATGGCTCTAGTAGACAGTAGATACACTAGTTTGTACATTAATAAGGCCTTTATATAGGAACACTACCTTCCTACTCAATACATTCTACTTCCAATCCTAGTATACAATGTAGACAGAACCCTAAACCAGAATGGTTGGATTACTAAGTTTGTCCAACTATAGATGACTATTCAGGATCATGAGGAAAGTATTGAGTTTAGAGTCACCAACCTTAGAAAGACAGACATCTTTATTAGATTCAAATAGCTCAAAGCTTACAACTCTACTATTAACTAGTTAGAGTAGACACTTGTGTTTGATTAGTGTCCCAAGTCTTACAGCTACCTTGTACTACTGTTCTGAGTGGATACAGACACTTCTAATGTTACTGACAGTTCTAATGAAGGTGACTGGTTGTTCTTCTTTGACTAGGATAGATATGTAGATACATATTCTAGTTAAGACAGAACAGAGTTGATCTAAAGGATGTTTGAGACAGAACCAGTCCAGAACCCTCTTAGAACAACTCTACTCTAGAACACACATAGACCCAGTCTGCTGGATTTTGTCTAAGAGTTCCCTAAAGTCTTTAGTAAAGAGGAATTTGACCAGCTTTCTGAACACTATCTCTAGGACTATACAATTGAATTGACTGAGGGTTTCCAACCTAAGGATTGTAAGGTCTACCTACTCAACAGAGACAAGTAGGAGGTGCTTGATGAGTTCCTTTAGGAAAATCTTCAGAACAGTCAGATCCAACCCTTAAAGTCCCTTATGACCTCCCCTTTCTTCTTTGTCAAAAAGAAAGATAGGAAGCTCTACCTAGTCTAGGATTATTGTTGTCTCAATAAGAGTACTGTTAAAAACAAGTACCTACTCCCTCTAATTCAGGAGCTCATTAATAAGACACATACATCCAGGGTTTTTACTAAGTTGGACATTCAATAGGGGTACAATAATATTTGGATTCAAGACAGAAATGAGTAGAAGGCTGTGTTCTGAACCAATTGTGAATTGTACAAACCAACCATAATGTTCTTCAGACTAACCAACTTGCCTACAATGTTCCAGTCATTCATGAATCACATCCTTACAGATCTGATTAACTTAGAGCATGTTAGTGTGTATCTGGACAACATTCTGATCTTCACCTAGACAGTTGAGTACTATTACTGACTGATCCAAGCAGTTCTACAACAGCTCTGAGATAATAAACTGTTCCTCTAAGAAGTAAAGTACTCTTTTGTACAGGAGTCAGTAGATTATCTAGGCTTTGTGATTGGTGGAGGAGAGGTCTGTATGGATCTAGCAAAGGTAACTACAGTTTAGAACTGGCTGTAACCTTAGAACCTGAAACAGGTCCAAGTGTTTCTTAGGTTTACAAACTACTACTAATACTTTATTCAAGGCTTTAGTACCATTGTCTGGCCCCTTCACAATCTTACTAGCAAAGATGTTCCTTAGTAATAGGATGATTAGTAGTAGTCTGTGTTTGAGTCCCTTAAGTAGGCCATTACTAGCAAGCCTGTATTAGTAGTTCTGACAGTTGTAGACAAGTTCTGAGTCAAAGCCAACTCTTCTGACTTTGTGAATAGAGTAGTACTGTCCCAGTTCATTAACAGAAAGTAGTGTCTGATAGTGTTCTGATCAGAATCCCTCTCTGTAACAGAACAGAACTACTCTATCTATGACAAGAAACTCTTTACAATTGTCTGTTCCCTAGAGGAGTAGTGTTAATATCTCCTTAGTACTGTACAAAAGTTTAAGATTTGGAGTGATCACCTTAATCTCTAGTACTTCTGAGCACCTCAGAAACTCAACCACTACTAAGCCTACTAGATGTTAGAACTACAAGACTATAACTTTGTACTAACCTATAAACCTGGAACACAAATGATGAAAGCTGATTTACTCTCAAGACAAGTAGGTTATGAAAGGGGGGAGAATGATAACAAAAATCTTGTTCTCCTAGACAATTCCTGTTTCACATCTGAGACAATCTGAGAGATCTGACTTGAATCCAAGGATGTTGACTTTGTCACCTGTATATAGTAAGCTCTGAGACACATACAGGACTAGGTTATAGTAAAGTAGCTAGAGAAGCAAGCTAGGGATTGGGAGGAGGATAAGGATGGACAGGTTTACTAGGAAGGCTGACTGTACATTCTGAAGGATTGGAAGCTGTAGGAGGACATCATCCAAGCTTATTACAACAATCTGACTGTAGGACATCTAGGCTGACACAAAATGTAGGAACTCATTACTCAGAACTACTAGTGGCCAGGAATGTAGAGGGAAATCCTGAAGTATGTGACTGGTTATAATATGTGCTAACAGACTAAGGCCCACTAGACCAGGGTTTAGGCTCCCCTACATCTGTATTGGATCCATCAGGAAAAAGTCTTAAGGCTTATATTAGCTTATAAACATATAAATTATATAAATTTTCTAAAAAATATAAAAGACCATATATCCAACCTCTTAAAATGAGAAAATTATAAAAAGCTATATAAGATACAAAAAGGTATGTACAAATTGTTAATATGAATAAGGTTTATAAGTATTGACAATATGTAAATGAACTTATATCCAACCTCCTAAAATGAAAAGATATTAAAAGAACTTTGTATTTTAACAAGAGTAATATAGTTTTATAATATATACAATCTAATGTAAAGCTTTAAAAGTACTTTGTATATTGTTAAATATTATTATACTTTATAAGAGCTTTACAAGGCTTCAAAATAGTTATAATATTTTACAATCCAGGTATTCATTTATTTCTCTCTTTTTCCTCTTATAATTAAGTATTTACATTTTAATATGCTTGCATTGATTTATTTCTACTACATTTCATTCTAATAATATTGTACTTGTGAAACGATCATGCAGACACGAAAAGAGAGAAAGAAAGGAAAGGAGCGTCCAGTTGTGGAGAATCATACTTTGAATATATCAGACCAGTCTTCACCTAAGGGACAGAATTGTTAGCAAGTGCAGGTAATTGAAGCGAGGAGAGGGACACACCTATGACAACGTGTAGGAAGGGTAGGTAGTGTACTGGGTTGAGATCCGGAGCGTCGAGCAAGCTGATTTGAGCTACAGGCGAATCTGTATCTGTGCGTGCGTGCTGCATGCTCTTGCTACAGCAAGCAATGGAAGGTACGGTGTGCTGAGTCATTGATCGCAAGGGTGTATCTCTGGGACGTCCTGACGTGAAGAGAGAAGGTAATGTGGAAGTCGCGGACAGACTCGGTGCGGGCGGCGTGAGTGGTGGGTCAATGCTTCCGTTTAATGCAATTCCATGCCTGGCACAGAGGAATGCAAATGCACGCGGTGTGGGCCTATCTAGAGTAGTTTCAAGCACTGAACGTGTGGAAAAGGAGAGTGTGTACCAGGTGAGAGAGAGAGTGGCACGACGGGAGTAGCCGTACAGGGACATTGTCGCAAGCATGTGCTCATCGTTGTCGTCTGCGCTGCAGAGCGGGAAGAAGTACGTGAATGCATGGAATTATTGAAGAAGTCGTTTAGCATTGGTCAACAATGCGGATGCGCGCGCGAATGCAAAAAGGAAGGTGAACGTAAAAAAAGTGAGGACAGCGAAGGAGAGGCAACGCAAATGGCGGAGCGAGGAGCGGGAGGGATGGAAGGGAGACAAAAAGTTGGGAGGAGAGGGATGAGCAACTATTGTGCAGGCTATTATCATTATGAAGTGGGCTGGCTGCTTACGCTTTACGCTGAAGGACGGTGTTGTCAGCTGGGTCGTGTCATTGCGAGATCTGAGGCTCAGCGCGGGCATCGCAGTGGCAGATTGGAGAGACAAGTACAGTGATGTTTGTTGCCTATGTTGTTGCAGGCAGAGTGCCTGCTGGTAGGACGCTTGTGAGCGGAGGACTCGACTAGAGAGAACAGAGGCAACGACATAGCGTTGGGGGCAGAGGGTTGGGGAGACGGTGAAGGTAGGAGGTAAAGGAGTGACGAAGAGAAATGCGTCATTATATGCTCCCGATCTTCAGCAGTTGATTACATAAGCAACTATAATATGAGTCGTCAACTGATAGAACATTTCAATTATTGCATTTAGGTATAAAATAAAATTATTGATCTACTTTGTAATACAGTAAAAAGAAATATGACATGTATATAGCTTTCTAAACATACTAATGTAATTATTACAAGTAGATGAAATGCCTTTTACAATAATTGTAAACTGCTTGTATAAATAATCTAAGTATGATATACATTAATATACCTTTTGTATAAATTATAAGGCAACAATAGTAATTATTACATTATTATATTATAAGTATAACTCTTTCTTTAAGATTATAATTTAAATATAATACAAGCATAACACTTTAGGTTGTTATATAAAGTTAGTATAATACATGTAATAGATTTTTATTCATCCCTAGTACTTATGTAGTCTTTATATACATTAATATGTCTTATTTAAACATTGCAATTCAATTACAAGCCTTATAATTACTTTATAATGTATATACAATACATATGTTACTTTACAAAGTCTATAAGAAATTACAAGAAATCTGACTTTTTCCTGATGTCCTGGATCACTCTTAGGAAGAAGTCTCAGTAAACCTGATCAGTAAGCTACCTAAGTCTTAGGGTTATAACACTATCTGTGTGATTGTCAACTGATTCTCTAAGCAAGTCTACACAGTTCTGACCCAAACAGAACTCACTTCTAAAGGTATAGTACACATCTATCAGAATCACATCTTCTGGTTACATAGACTCCCTCAGAAGCTCATTCACAATTGTGGACTGTAATTTGAGTCAAAATTCATGTAGGACTTGTATGTGCTTCTTAGAATTCAAGGGAACCCTTCTACTGTATATCACCTGTAGACTGACAGTCAAACTGAGCAAGTCAATCAGGAGATTGAGCTCTACCTCTGGATGTTCATCAATCATCAGCAATTGGATTAGTCTGAATAGTTAGCTCTAGCAGAATTTGTGTACAATAACTGGCAACACTCTACAATAGGACAGTTCCTGTTCTTCCTCAATTATAGGAGACATCTGTACTAGGGGACAGTTCTGAACCAGAACAGTAGTTCCAAATCTGTAACAAACTTTGTAGAACAGATGCATAAGACTAGGGAAGACACACAAGCTCTTTTAGAGAAGGTAGTACAGGTAATAAAGCAGAACTATAATTGGAAGAGATCTACAGCCAAGGATTACTAGCCTAGGGACAAAGTTATACTAGAAGCTACTAACCTGACCATGGATCACCTAATGAAGAAGTTGGACAACAAGTACTTCAGACCCTTCATTATTAAAAAGAAGGTCAGCACCTCTGCCTACAAACTCCAACTTCTGGCAACATAGAAGTACATACACCCAGTGTTCAACAAGGTCCTACTGTCTCAGTACTATGATCCAGGTTTTCCTTTACAACAAAGACCCCTACTACCTCTACCAGAACTCATTGGTTCTGAACTGGAATACAAAGTAGAGTACATAGTGGATACTAAACTGGTGCACAGAAAGCTCAAGTTCCTTATCTACTAGAAGGGATACCTAGTTGAGGAACATACTTAGGAACCTGCTGAGAATCTCACCCATACTACTAAGACAATTTAAGACTTCTATTAACTTCATCCAGGTGCTCTACATCAACTCTGCCTCACAGATTTCCAAACCCTACTGTTCCAATCTATACTCAAACTACTGACCAAGTCTAATGTTCACCAATCAGGACAATTGGTTTTAGAGGGGGGGTGATGTTACAGTTCTCTACTCTCTTACCTTCAGTTCTAAGGGTTCTACCCCTTCCATACTAGAACTCAGGACTTCTGTCCCTCAGGGGTGCTGTTTATAGACTATATACATACTGACTCTTACTACTACCCTTCCTTACTTCATCATTCCATTCCTTTGACCACCCCTTCATTCTCTGTTCATTCTATGGTCTCTTACCCTTTGTCCATCCTTTCATTCTTTGTACCTTTATCTTTGACATTCCTTTCTTTCATTCTTCATAGCTTATCATTCTTAGTGGCTCATACTCCCTGAGTACTCTTGTGTAGTCTAGTATATATAGGCATACAAGATCAGACTGGTCCTGTAGTCTTGATCTTGTCTACTCCAGGTAGTCCTGTACTCTTAGGCTTACTCTATATACTCTACTCTTGTCTCACTCTCTCTCTCTACCTGTTCTGCAAGTTCTGACTATGTTCTAGTGCTTGCATTCTGTATTTCTGTTGTGTAGGATAGTTGTAGCCTGGGTCCCCTTGCTAAGCCTTCAGGTCCCCTCTATACTGTTACTGACACAACTAATGTCTGTATTGTGTTGATTCTATTTCTACTGTGTAAAATCTGTATAACTTGTCAATCTAGTCTTCATAGGTTTTGTTGTCTAGAGGGTCTTTAGGTGCTACTCAGTATTGTAATAATCTGTCTGTACACTTAAAGTCTGATGTAGGAATGTAGCAGAACTCAAAATCAAATAGTAAAATACTAGCTATCTAGTGATTGATTATAGTATTAGACTGTAGGTCAGACTTATTAATCATTCCCTTTATGTATAAAGTGTCCATTTCCACAATTAATTTCTTAATACTTATAAGATATATGTGTAATGTGTAAAGTGTACAATAAAGTCTGAACAGCTCTATTTTTGCTTACAAATATTGTACTTGTGTTGTGTTCTAATTAATCAATCCAAATTGATTTATTCTCCATTTGTAATCTAGGTGCTCCTGACTAATATACTATCCTACTCTAATGATAGACAAATCTACTACTAAGACTACTAGATACTCTGACTTGTAGTCAATTGGTGTTAATGTAGGACAATGTAAAACTGCTTCCTTGAGTGTGTTCATAGATTTCTGTACTTTGTTATTCTAATTGAATATTAAGTTCTTTTGTATGAGTTGATTGAGTAGTTGTGCCAACTTTGTGTAATTTCAAATAAAAACATAAAGCACTCCTACTGTTCTGAGAAATCCCCTTACTTCTATAACACTCTTACAAGGTGGCCAATCCCTAACCTTCTGTATTTGCAATTCTTTAGCCTCTCTCCCTAAATACATTAGCTTATGTCTAACAAATATTGTGGATTGGTTACAAAGTGTCATCTTCTTCCTAGAAAATGTCCCTCCTACAGCTTTCACTTTCTACAAAATCTGGTTTACATCCATCAGATGCTTGTATATAAACTTCTGTATTCCCTTGTTCTTGAGAAGCATTTCCTCTGTTCTGTCTACTTTCTCATATCTTGAGCAGGGTCTAATTACTAGAACATTGTCTGTATATAAGTTTGTAACATCTGGAATCTTGTTGTAAAGAATAAACACCAAGTCATTATACAGAATCTGTACTGAGTTGGTGTAACCCATTAGTAACACTGTCAAGCAAAATGTCTCTAGAGGTGTCTGGAACATTGTCAGATCTCTAGACCACTCATCCAAAATCCTCTGATTAAACATGATATGCAAATTAAGTTGTGTATAGTATGTACAACCTCTGCAGCTTTCTACAATTAGTTCCATGTTTGGCAGAACAGCTGCATCCTTTATTGTAACTGTGTTTAACCTTTACAAATCAATAATAAATCACAAGGATACTCTGTCTTTCTTTGTGACACAAAACCATTACAATCAATATGTAATGATTGCACTACCTGTACATTTGTACAACATGTGTTGTAGGTGCTTGTGAGTGTTTTCCTTTTTGTTCACTAGACTACCCTGTATCCTACTACATGTGTATACACATATATAAAGGGTTTTCGAGCTAAGGGTTAGGGGATTCTTTCTCCTTCTCAGTGCTTGATTACTAGGTTATCCTAGTCAGTAGTTGAGTGTGCTGGTAAAGAGAGAATCTTCGCATAAGGCTAGTATACCTATCCTTACACATTTTTGACTGAACCCACCTTTCTATAAACCTGCTGGGCTTTGACAACCAGAACTGAGGGCTTGATCACCCCAATATGTTCCTCACATTGTCTAGTACTCCTTTGAATTCAAAGAAACAAGTGAGTAGTTTGCAAATCTAAATTAGAAACACATATACTCTCACTATGGCTACTAAGATACTCAGAATGCTCGAGGGACACAAACAGATTGTTCCCCTTGATGCAGAGAGACCTCCTTGTCAATATTGTAAGAGGCAAGCATCATTCAGAAGTGCTAAAGAGCAGCTTTCCCTAAATGCAGAGAGATTCGAAACAGTACACACTACAGATTTCGAATTAACAGAGTATGCAGACAATGGACAACAAGATTATCTGTTGAGTACTGAACACAATGTGGCTACTGAGCCTCAGCAGACAATCCTAGAAGGGCCCCCAAGTCTGGAAGTTACTATTAACATGCTAGAGAATAAGTCCTTGTCTGTTACAGGCTGGAGGCAATCTGATGACCCTTTGCCAGGTGATAAGTCCTTGTCTACACTAGGCTGGAGGCACCCTGATGAACTATTACATACAAGTAATGTAGAACAAAGGCATGTACCTGTACCAGCACATATTGTTAGACTAATGCACACTGTAGAGTAGACACTAGCAAGTGCTTACCTTACTAGGCTCACAGAAGTAGATAATAGTAGTACAGAGAGTGTAAATGCTCAGGAAACTGGCATTAAGGATTCTGTCAGTAAGAACAAGGGTATTAGTAAAGGAACAATACTTTCCTTACAGTAGGAAACGTTCCAGAAGGCCAGAAAGACATTCAGAAACGTCCCTAGGCCAGAGACACTGAAAGCCATGAGTAGGCTAGCTAGTCCATTCAATCAAGGAATTGATATCAAGGAATTGAACAAGAG